AGAAACCCTGAGGGATTGCAGAGTGAACTCCACTTACTCACTGACCTATCAACTACCCGGATTAAGAATATCCAAATTTTAGGGGCCATAGAACGTCCCACAGATTGACAGACCTCTGACTCCTGAAAAGATTTAGGGTGAATTTTTGAACAGAGAACTATCCGATAATGCAGCTTTATTCCAGGGAAAATACATGATATTTCCTGGAAATAAAGCAGCATTATCGGATAGTTCTCTGTTCAAAATTCCACCCTTTATATAAGAAAAAATTGGAAAGGCTCATCGCAAACTCATGGAGCACCCTCTGTGACGTCATGCCCTTCGTGTAGCTTACGTTTTTTTTTAAGCAGCTATGTTGGCTCTGCTAACGCTTCCAGCATCCCACAACGTTTCGTCACATTCGTTGTTGGCCTGTTCAGCGCTCTTGCTGCGGTTCCGCTGACCGCTGCTTTACCAAGAGTGACATTTAATGACGTGGTTGGGTCGAGTGCTGACGAAAAAAGCGCCTCTTTTGCGGCTGGAGAAAACGAGAATTGTGAGTGTCTCTTCCAATATTTACCAATAAATTCGCAGGCATTTTTAGATCTGAGAATTTCCTCAATAAAGGTGTGTTATGGCAGGAGTTGAACTCTATGACCTGGGGGAAAAAAAAAATTAATTTATCAGGCAATACAAATTGTACCCTTGAACTGTGCTGTTTCGGGAACTTTATTTTCCGCGAACTTCCATGCATAAAGCAAAAACTGCATATACCCACCAGACTGAAAGGAAAATAAATAAATAAGAAACGTATGATACAAAATCCAGGCCCCGGTTGAACCACTCCTCCGGGCCCAACTGAGACCTGTCCTCACAAGCCGCTCAACAGGCGAAGCAATCAACGACCCGCTGAAGAAACGAAGTCGAACGAATCACGGCTGCCAGATCCCCTCAGGACGATCCAAGCTCCGCATCCGCTCGGCGCAGAGCCACCTGCGTCCGGAGGAGCCGCGCCTGCAGCCGGGCCCAGAGGAGAGGCTCCCCGGGGGCCAGGATCGTCGCCGCGTGGAGGGCGGCCGCCTCGCCGCGCATCACCGTCGCACACGACAACCCTGCACAGATCACCCCGTTTCATGCGTATGTGGTCAGTGTTGTCCGATCGCGCTCCTCGAGTCGAGGTGCTCGGATTAAGCAGCGTCAAGGAAAGTCACGTTCTAACACCAATTTCAGGCTTTTCTCATGCGATGTCTCTTGTACCGGGTGTTCCAAAAGTCGCTGTTCTGCAGAATTTACTTACTTTGTAGTATTTATGTCCCACTTTTTGCGTTATGAAAGACAAACTATCACCCATTACATCAACCATTAGCACCATCCCATAAGTAAATCATTTATCGTCAACACGTATTGCTTGCACTAAAGCGTATCATTTCATGTCATGAATTCAATTGCACAGCAACTTGTGGAACACCCTGTATTTGCGAGAGATGCTCACACAAAAACAAGTACTGTGTTCCAAAGCAAATGAAAAAAAACAAACAAATAAAATGCCACTCGAAGTAATTTCAGCATTAGGCTTCCTAACTGCCTCTCGTCTACTACTAGTATCATTGTGCGCAAGAATACTCTAGCTTTACACATTTAGGAACAAGGGCGACCAATAAATTGATACTCAGACTTATATCTCAATATCTTGGTAGAGGAGTTCACTGCATGAGGGGGAGAATGAACACCGCTGTAACATTAATATGAATGTTTTAGATATCCACCATTTTCCTCAACGTCCATTCTTCGTCGCCACTCGAACCCGAGTTCTCCCTCAGTGGCCTTCAGACCCACAAATCCCTTCTCCCACGACGCACCGAACTCCTCCACCCAGATCGAAGGCCGCACGCCGGATGGACGCCGTGCGTGCCGGATGGACGCCGTGCGTGCCGGATGGACGCCGTGCGTGCCGGATGGACGCCGTGCGTGCCGGATGGACGCCGCGACGCGGGACTCACCGGAGGGCAGCCGGAGGGAGGACCAGACGTCCTTGTCTCCCCACGAGGGAGACAGCGGCGGGCAGTTGATGACGGGGAGGGCGGTGTTCCCGGAGAGGACGGGTCCCAGGCCGTTGCTGCCACCTGCCACCGCCACCAGCACCACCTTCTCGCCTGCGCGAAACCCATCACACGATACTCTCACCACGCCAGCAGAAATTGCCCACTCTTCACAAAAAACGACGCAGGTCAGTCGTCGTGGACATTCCCTAAATTAAAAAATCATACGGCCGACATCGCGGAATGTCGCGCTGGCGATTTTCTGAGCTCGGCGCATGCAAACGAGATCGTCCGGTCGCAAAAGTTTCCACTCCGCCATCGAGCCCTTCCGTCAGAAAGCGGTGAACGAGCCGGTTCTCCGAACGCGCGTCAGAGTCTGAATCAACACCGTGGTTTGGGTACGTATCGGCAAGCATAATATACTACCGTCCAAAAGAAACGTTACAAGGTAATTTAGGGCTCGCCCACGTCGCAGGATTTGCGGCGGCAATACATCCGGCCTCTGCTGAACGACTCGACACCGCCCGAACGTTATTAGCGCGTTCTCGCCAACCTTTGAGCGCCGGGCACGTGCCGCGCTTGGAATGTGCCCGTTTTGGATTTTCTTCGCGTCCAGGGGCGGACTGCATAAAATAATGCCAGCATTAGTCCAAAGCTGTATTAACTAATGGAGCTTTAAACAGAGGCATTGCATTGAAGAATTAAAGTCGCATTAGTCAGTAGATGCGCAAAAATGTCGTTCGCTTCGGCAACCATTGCCATTCACCTTCAACCGAAAAAAAGAAATTCCTCCTTGGTGCAATGAAGACCCTTAGCCGCCATTTTTCGTAGCTGTAGTTCGACTCGAGACGTTTTCAGCTGATTATCTAACAAGCAGTATTGTGTGCGAATTACGTTGCTAGTTATATTTCCTACGTTACAATCGCAGATGTCCTGTTACTTTTTGACTCGCCCTTTTGTGGGCAATGAATAGTAAAAAAAAAAATAATTCGATTTTCGAACGTTGCCGAAGCGAGCGACGATTTTGCAGATCTCTGATGTACATTATCGAGTCGTTAATGCACATTAGGAAACGCTGCGAGTTAACTAATGCAACTTCAACATTTTTTTTAAATACGATGCCTCACTTTAAACTTGCATCGATTAACACAGCTTTTACAGGCATCATTTTATGCATTCCACCCCATATTTCCATAGGTAAAGAACGAGTTCATTCCCCTGTGCATGTCATACAATCTCTGAAAAACATCATAGGTACGCCAAGGCTAACGCAACAAAGGGACCGGACGATCTACACGCGACGACCCCGACGCCCTCGAAACGACCCGGACGCCCTCGAAACGACCCGGACGCCCTCGAAACGACCCGGATGCCCTCGAAACATCTCGACGTCTCACCCTCGCACTCGGCGGCGATGCGGAGAGCCTCCAGCGTCGCCTTGTGCGCGGAGGCGACCCTCAGCCTGCAGGGGATCCCGAGGCATTCGCACTCCCGGCGGATCTCCTCCCCCGCGGGCTGGTCCGAGGCGGATCCCATCACCACCACCACCTGCAAAGGCGGAGGGCTCATTCGCATCTTCGCTCGATAATCTTCGGGAGAAAACGTCAGGGAAAGAGATGGCGTTTCGGGGAGACTTCCTGAAATGTCAGAACTGCCTCCACTTCAAGCATTTCGTCTTTACCCATATTTGAAAATTCTTACAAGCACTTTCATTGATCAGAAATCGATAGGAATGCCTCCCCGAGGTATCCGCATCTCTTCACGCAGATGTAGCATTGAAAAAAAAAATTAAACTTCATATTTTAAATTGAGGGTCACCCCTGACCTGTCCTCGAGGAGGTCGAAGGAATCCCTGGAGCCGCTGGGTGACCCATTCGTAATTGGCCATGACCT